CTGAGGCCAGCAGGTTGGGGGATCTCCTGCATGCCTCCCAGCTTGCCAGAGACTGGAGGGCAGATGAATGCAGTTGCGTGGCAGGGGCAGATCAAAGCCCCTGCAGTGAGGGCGGGAGTGGGGTTGGGGGTGGGGGGTGGGATGGAGCCATGGCCGGACAATAGGCCAGACAAAATGTTTGCCTATTAAATTTGCATGTTAAAAAGCAGTACATTCTGTGTGAGTAGAGTAATTTTACTGGTCTTGCTATTGCTTTGACTGATGGAGGAATACAGAGAGACTGTATACAAAAGTGGCAATATAAGTATGGCATCCCTTTCATACGTCTCCGTACTCTGTCTCTTTGGATGGATCGTGGTTTGCCTGTATTGACACAACCAGACATTTCTTCCTGATTGGATAGTTCAGTAGATCTATGGGAGGATAACTTGTATTCTGATATTTTTACAGCGTATTCAATTCTTTATTCATGTCAGTATAATGTCCCATATTTTGTTTATAGCAGCAGTAGTTAAATTCTTTTGAGGCACAATTTGCTCTGCAAGTCTCTGAAAACCCATGAGGCCACACTTCTTTATTTTTAGGTAGGTTATGTGAGAGAGTTGCACTTAAATCAGGATGTGATTCAGGATGGTATTTATCCCAGTATAACAGCTCTGCTACCTTTAGGCTGATCACCAGTGGATACTTTGGAAGGCTGCAGAGTCTGCAAATTGTGGCATCAGATTTATTTTTATTTTGTTCCTATTCAACAGGAGTTGGCTTTCACTATTGCTGTATTTCCTTCTGCAGGTCAGCAAGATCAGTCTTGTAGATCTGGCTGGGAGCGAGAGAGCAGATTCTACTGGTGCCAAAGGGACTCGATTAAAGGTAGCAGGGACTGTTGGGGTTGGGGGGGGGAAAGGAGAAACTGGTATAGTACTAGTCTGGTGATTAAGAATGCTTTTTTGCTCATTAAAAACTGAATTGAGGACAACATTGCTAAAATGTTTAAGAGCTTTATTCCCAATATTCAGTGATATTGTGCAATAATTTCTTCAACTTTTTAAGAAACCTTTCCATTGCTGGACTAATGGTATCTATCCCAACAGCCTTTTGTTCTTGCATATGATTGCTGCTGTGAGAAAATGGCTTGCTCTCTGTAACTAAAAGCTCCCTGTTTTCAGAAGTCTGTAGTTCATTTTGATTTCCTGCAATTTTATCTTATATTGGAGCAATTAAAAGGAAGGAGTTAAGACGGCATGAAAACGGTCTTTCTAGGTTTGCTTTTAATGATCTAAAAATTTTAGTCATGCCTCAACTTTTTTGTGTCATAGATTGAAACGTACATTGAAGTATTTCTTCAGATTGGTAACTGGGGTTTGTTAATGAGCTTGAGAGAGGTACCTCCACGAATTTTGCCAGTCTGAGAGAATGACTATGTTAAGACCCAAAGGATCATGGCATTTAAGTCGTAGCGAAATCTACTTTGGGAAAGTCATTGCTACAAGTCTGAGAAATTTACATCAGCTAGGATTTACCTCTGTTGGTCTGTTACTTCTTGTTAAGAAGTTCAGCCAGTGTTGTTTATTCCTCTTTGAACCTGGAGGAGTCCATGCCTGACCACCTTATGTGATTCTTTTTTCTAGGAAGGGGCAAATATCAACAAGTCTCTCACAACCCTGGGGAAAGTCATTTCAGCTTTGGCAGAGGTGGTAAGTACATCACTTAATTTGTCCCATGTGGAACCTATTATTTTTTGCAAAGCTCTCAGAGCTTAGAATATAGCACTTTGAGACAGCAGAAGACTGGGTAGCCCAGCAAGGCCCTGCTGGGCTTGTCTACCATTGGCTTCTGCATTAATCATCTCTCATCTTTTGGTAGCTATAACTGATCCGTGAAGCCCTTAAGTATTGGTATAAGATTGCTCACACCAAGGCAAGAATACTGGGTTGTTTAATCTGGAAAAAGCCTTGAATTGCAAATTCCTCTCTTTATTTTTTTAACTTGTAAGCAATAAAGTCTACAGACTACATGTTTCCTTGCTGAGCTTTGTCGTGATTTTTTTCGAAAAATAAGTAAATTATCATTACAAAAGAGGAACTTGATGCATACTATTAAAGTGGTGGTTTTCAACCTTTTTTCATTTGCGGATCCCTAAAATTTTGAGTGGAGGTGTGGACTAGGGTTACGCCAATAGAAATTTTCGGGGCCGATACAGATAGCTGATATATTTAAGGAGGCATGTTGGCAGATACCGATCCAATACAGCTGCCTCCAAGTGGTAAGTCTGTTGTGGTGGGAGGGAAGGGTGTGGGAGGGGCAGATCAATGCCCCCTGTGGTGAAGGACAGAGGGGACGGGGTAGGCGCTGCCCAGGTGGGTGGGGGCATGGGACAGAGGTGAGGCTCATGGCAGGGGGGAGGCAGCTCCTGCTGCTGCTGCTTGCACTTGGGGGGGTGTACCCCCAAGATATGCATGGGGCAGGCTGGAGCTAGGGCTGCAGGGGGCTCTTCTTGGCAGGGGCTGGGCTCAGAGCAGGTGCCGGGGGCACTGGGAGGGGCTGCAGCCACCCTAAATTTCACCACAACTCTGCTCCCAGCCCTGCACCACTCCAAGTCCCACCTCCACCCATGAGCCGGAAACTGCTGAGTCTGTCCCAGGCAGCTGCACTGGGAGTGGAGCTGTGGCAAAATTTGGGGTGGATGCAGCATCCTCCCAGCACTGCTGGCGCACACTCCAAGGCTCTTCTGGTGCTGCACATGGCTCTTCTTGGAGGGGGTGGGCTCGGAGGGGGCACTCAGAGGATGCTGCATCCACCCCAGATTTCACCGCAGCTCCGCTCCCAGCGCTGCTGCTGCCATCAACCGCCCAGCACAGCACCCTCCCCCCGAACGACCTGCACCTCCATCCTGCACTTCCACCCCCCTGGGGAGCACATGCCTCTATCTCTTCCTCCCTCACCGCAGGGCTGTTGATCTGCACCTCCCACACTCCTTCCCTCCCTCCTCCCCATCTGGCTTACCAGCTGGAAGCAGCTGTCCATGCTGCTGCCTCTGCTGTGTGCTGCGCTGCGGCTGCTTGCAGCACGGGCATTTATCGGTCAAGTTATCGGCCCCATCGGGCCAATATCAGATGCAGCAAATTTTCTTTGTATT